TCAGGGGCTGTTTGTTACCACTGCTGCTGGAGGACATTGGTGGCTTAGCACTAACGTTTTGCAAATTGCCGAAGCGTCTCTGCGTGCTGTTGATGTCCTACAGCCCTGGGAACCACTGTCCTCCGTGTAGGGATATACACGCCAAGCTTCTCCTGTGGTTGGTGACAGCGCGTGGACCACGTCCCGCGTGGCTGCGGGGTACTGGCCAGCCCCACGTCGAGGAGCACGGCCCTGCCCAGAGGCAGACAGGATGACGCTGGGAGTCGGAGGAGAAAAGTGGGGATCAGAAGTCGTGGAGGGTCTCTGGGGCGGGGCGTGAGTGCAGCGCGTCCTGGAAATGCTTCTTGGGTATTCCTGTGGCGTGGCACGGCGCCAGCGGCGGGGGCCATGCATCTGAGAAGACCGGGTTCATTCTCATCTCTGCCTCTAAATAATGTCTGTGCCTTAAGCGCCCTGAGCTTCATGTCCCTTTCCTCTAAAATGGAGATGGCGGCCACCGCCGAGCGGTGGATTATCAGGCGGGAAACGAGGTCTGTGTAAGGCACCTGCCTCTGTGCCCGGCGCAGAGCTGGCATCTCATAATTGGGAGTTATCACTATTAAGGGACATTGCTGGGACTGAAGGGACGAGAAAGGTAAATCAAAGCGTCTCTGTTCTCCAGGGGCTCCCAGGAGAGTGGGAGAGCCCGAAACACACACACAAGTAAGTTATAATCCAAGGCAGCTGTGAGAAGTGTTGTAACCTGGAGCCCAAACAATGTGGGGGCAGAATGGGGGAGGGGTCAGGAGTGGGGGAGCAATGAGAGGTGGGGTGGGCAGTCGTGGGGGGAGGTGCCCAGGGAACCTGAAAGGAAGGAGGCCTGGGGGAGGGAGGTGGTAGGAATGGGGGTATCTGCAGCTCTGACCCCTCCTCAGCTTGGGTGAGAAGCACAAGCCCCCCTCCCACGCACCCCCAATGCGCTCTTCGTGTCTCCCCAGCCGTTCACCTGCCTGCAGACCCCTGGGGACCTCCTGTCCCGGGTGGGGGCATCAGGAACCTGCCCGGCCTCCTGGCGCACATGCCTAGAGGGAAGAAGTGCACAGTAACCAGAGGCCCTCTGCGTCTCCCCCTCCATCTCCGGGACCCCCACCTCCTGCTCCTCTGCCTTGGCCTGGCTCCATGACTCTCAGGGTCACTGTGTCACTGGGGCCTGCCCGCTGCCTTTCCCTGCAGACCATCCCCCTTGCCTCCTCCTCCTCATCACGACCCAGTCTGCCCGCCTGCTTCTCCTCATCTCATTCCCGCCCCTCGCTCCCCTCGCCCCTGCTCCATGTGGGTGTCCCTGTCCAGCCTCCCCTGAGTCCCTGTGGCCCACGACTGTCCTCACGATGGCTGCTTACGACACCCGCACCCTGATGGTGTCGGAAGGCAGGGAGGCCACAGATCAGATCTGGTGGGACTTCATTCCCAAGGAGTACCCCTGGCAGGTCATGCTGCCCCCCCGTGCCCCCAGGAGCTGCAGGGGCAGGGCGGGCCGGGCAGGCAGGGCGGGCCAGGGTGGTGCGCTGGGAGACCTGGTCTGTGGTCTGCGGTCATGGTCTTCCTGCGGCCAGCCCCCCCCCGGCCCCTCACAGTGAGCCGTGCCCGTGCATGTTTGGTGCCGGAGAGGGATGGGGCTCAGGTGGGACTACGGTTTGGCCCCCAATGGCAGTGCAGGCTCTGCTCTGTCACACGCGGTGGGAGGACCAGGCCCCCAGGGCCCCTGAGGCATATGTGTGTTCTTGCTGGCCTCCAGTACTGGCTCTTGGGTCTGACGTTCAGGAGTAACCCAGTACCCCCTTCTCTGTCATAAGGCCTCCAGGACACGCCTGCCTTTGCTCCGGTGTCTTGCCTGCCATCTGTCTGTACCTCCCTCTCACTTTCTAGGCGTTTCCTTGGCAAGCCCCACCGTTGCATCACAACCTTCCAGGGTCCTGCCTCCCCTACCCATCCCAGCTCTGTTCCTCACTCCCTCTTCCAGGGAGCCTCTCAGGACTGACTGTGCATCCCGCCCCCAGCACTTTCCTGTGTCCCTGCATTGAGAACCCAGCCTGTCCCGCCCTGTCCCCTGCCCTGTCTCTGCCTTCGCAGGAAGCATCCTCTGCCTCCCTTCCTTGATGGGGCGGGGGGTCGGGGGGAGACAGAAGTGCTCACTCCTTGGGAGCACCTGCTGTGGGCGTGGCAGCCAGGCCACTGTGCTGGGTGGGGGGCTGGAACTCTGAGGGACACAGCCCAGACTCCAGGAGCCCCCAGGGCTCAGGCACAAGGGTGAGCAGCACAGTGGGGGCCGGACGACAGCAGAGGTAAGAAGGGCTCAGAGGGCAAGCGGGGAGTCATGGAAGACTTCACAGGTCATTGCTTCCATCCCCGTGTCTCAAGCTAACCTGCTTCAAGTAGGCCTAAAGCAAAGCAGGTCTTACTCAGATCCCCGAGTCTATAGATACTGCCTTCTCTGTCATGTCCCCGCTCCGGTCTCTGGGCTGCCTCTAATGATCCGGCTGCCCAGGGCAAGGAAGGGCCCTAGGGACCCGTCAGTGGGTGAATGCAGGGGGAGGTACCAGGCCTGCCATACGCCTGACCCCACAAGCCTTCACAGAACCCGGGAGGTGGGCATTGTCACGCCTCGGTTTACCAGGGAGGGGGGAGGCTCAGAGAGTGACTTGGGCAAGGTCACAGTTAGGAAGTGGCACCGGCACTGTCCCCTTCACCTGTGCTCCTAAAAGGGACCCTGCAGTCCATGCCCAGACTTGTCACTGTGCAGATCAGCTGGGCTGGGGGAAGAGGCACGCCCAAGCCGCCCGGCTCCTCCCTCCGGCAAGATCCGCATCTCTGCCTCCGACCACAGGGCTTCACTCTCCATCCTGCCACCCGGTTGGCTTCTTAGTGTTTCCTGGAGACCTCGGTGGGAGGCCAGGGTGTTCGGGACCCACGCGGGAAAGCTGAGAATACGAGTCCCATCTCTGAGCCAGGGGTGACGGGCCACCTCCCTCCCCCCCCCCCGCCCCGAGCCCTTGACTTGGGCTCCGGGCCGTGGGAAGGAGAATCGTGAGTGGAGGGGCTTGCAGCTCATAGCAGCACTAGAGAATGCGCAAAGATATGAATAAATTTGAATAATAATAAGGACAGCGCCTGAATTAATAATGCTGGCTGCTCACCTGACCCACCCCCTCCCCCAGGATCTCAGCACCTGCTACTGAAATCCCTGGAAATGGGGGATGGAGGGCAGGTCAGCAGAGTCAGGAGCTGCCCCCCGGCTGTGGGGAGGGGCCCTGTTTCGAAGTTCACAGCCCGGGTGGACCCCGGGAGCTGGATTTGTACACTAACCCGAGAGAAAAGAGGCTGCCTCGTTGTATTAAATCATACGCTGGCCATCACTCCCAGCCCTGCCCCCTCTCTCTCTGTCCCCTTTGTGTACAGCAAACAATGTGGGTGTCAGATGTCCAGGGAGACTCAGAGGGAGGAGACAGCACGGTCCTTGGCTTTGGAGGAGAGGTTCCCTTTCTGGTAGAAACGGACAGTGCAAACCCCCCCACCCACCAGCTGCCTTCTACCCCATGAGAAAAACATGGGCATAGACTCTTATAGTTTGGGACAGGAACGCCATGGATAGAGTTGTGACAGCAGGGCTGGATGATGGATGGGACAAGCCGTGTGTGTCTGAGTTGCTAAGGGATCAATCCAGGAGGACTTCCTGGAAGGAGGGAATGTAGGGCCAGTTTGGAGAGAATGGGGAGAAATGGAGCCAAAGGAGGAAACAGAACGGAGGGGCTGAAACCTGGGGTCTGTCTGTCTCTGGTGGCTTCGAGGGAGATCTCCGAATGAGGGACGGGTTCCCTCCACTTACACACAGGAGTGATGGAAGGAAAGAGAAATTTTGGAAAGGGTTGGGTTTGGGGATTGCGGTCTCTGCAGAGACGTGGGAGCTGGGGAGGGTAAGAAGGGAGAGGAGTCCCCTGAGCTCTGGACAAAGCTGACAGATTGGGGACGGAGCTGGAAGGCCGCAGACCTCCCTCTTTGCCGGCTCCCCTCTCCCCCACAGCCCGGGCAGCCGGAGCGAGGAGCCCAGGCCTGCCGGTTGCGGCTGCGGGACCAGCGCTGGCTCGCGGGGAGCGGGGGGAGCCCGGGGGGGCGGAGGAGCAGCCGCAATCCAATTCCCTGCTCCATTTGGGCTCCACAATTAAAGGCAATTACTCTGCAGCTCTCTAATCAAACGCGCCCGGCCGGGCGGCCAGCCGGGCAGCCATGTGTGGCTCGGCAGCCCGAGGGAGAGGGAAACAGTCACGGCGCCGGCGGCTCAGCACACGGGTCGCTGTGTCCGCGTGTCCTCAGCCATGCCCCTGAGCTGGGGGGCAGGGGGCGGGTGTGCCGAGAAGTGGGCTCCGAAGCTTGTCGTGGACACTCGGAGACCCAGACAGCCTGGGGACGCGCCTGCCCTTGCGTGCCCGCCGCGTGCATTCTCGGGGGCGGTTCCTGCGCGGTTGCGCCCGTGCGCTACTTCAGGGTGGCTCGTACGACGCGTGCAAGGGTCCGGTGGCATATTCATGCCCAGGGATTGAGGGGTGGTGGTATGACCGTGTCATGCACGCAGCATGCATTGACAGGGGCGCGGGGAGCAGCGGGGGCGGAACCATACTGGGACCTGGAGGGGGGAGCCTTAGGATGGAGTCCGCACCCTGCCACTCGCTCCCCCCACCCCGCCCCTGCACCCCTGGGTAATTTCCTCGGCCCCCTGGACGCAGCGTCCTGTCTGTAACACGAGAGGGCTATTTATACCACTGCACCGCTCCTCTGAGCTGAGCCTCGGCTCCGAAACCCGGCCCCCAGGGGCGCGGGGAGGAGGGAATCCAGCACTCGAGCGAGCGAGCCGGTGCATCGTGGAGGGCAGGGCTGGGCTGCAGTGGAGCGGGGGGCTGGGGCGTGGCCCCTGGTGGAATGCCTTCCCCGCTGCGTGGCCTCACCGCATGCCGGTTTGGCTTTGCCAGGGACCCAGACCCGCTTCAGCCAGGAGCCTGCGGACCAGACGGTGGTGGCGGGACAGCGGGCGGTGCTCCCCTGCGTGCTGCTCAACTACTCGGGCATCGTGCAATGGACCAAGGACGGGCTGGCACTGGGCATGGGCCAGGGCCTCAAAGGTGAGTGGGCCGCCCCCGGCGCGGCATGCGGGCTCCTTGTGCCCCTCCCTGGCACACAGCCCTGGGCCATCGCCCCTCCTCAGCTCCTCTCCACCTCCCCTCTCTGTGCTCCGGCCTCCCCTCTCCCATCTATGTGAGGCTCGGCCTCTCCCCTCTCCTCCTGGGCTCTGCCTCCACTGCCTTCCCGGCCCCGAAGCTCTACCTTTCTGCCAGAGAGATGGAGGGAAAACAAGAGACCTTTACGTAAGAGAGCTGCAGACAGACAGACAGACGGACAGCAGGAGGAGAGGTGCTCCGGGCAGAAGGTGGTGAGGCCGAGTGTCCTGCAGGCACGGGGGAGAGCATGGGTACCCTCTGTCCGGCAGGTGCCCCCTGCCCGGCTGGCTTTGCTCCAGACCCTGTCCTGCCTCTGCCCAGGTGACGTCTGCTCAGAGGCCGAAAACCTGTTTTAACATCAGCAGAGCCCTTATTTATCTAGGCGTTCAAGAAGACTTTATTAAGCACCACGCAGCCAGTGCTGAAGCCTACCTAACGATTCAGTATAACAAAACCACAGCCTCCTATATTACAAAGCAAAGGAAGGTGCCCTGGGGAGGGCCGCCCCGCAGTGGCTGAGGAGTCAGACCTGTGGGTTCTTGTCCTGCCTCTGCCGCCTGTGAGCTGGGTGGCCTTAGGAAATCCACTTCACCTCTCTGGGCCGCAGTTTACTACTGTGTAAAAATAGGTACAGTCGTCACGAGCTTAGGAGTGGCATTTGTGACTTTCGAACCAAACGAGAGAAGATGCTGTGTGACAAGTCACCGGCCACGTGAAGCAGTGCTATGATGCAAGCACTGGAGGGGCTGTGTATTTTTATTCTTTTTGTTGTCCGAGGTTTGAGATTGTTTGCTTTGGCCTCTGCAGATTAGCACAGGGAGGGGGAATTTGTCCGTGCAGGGAAAGAGATGGGCTGGTGGGTCTATTGATGATAGAAAGAGAGAGAAACTGGGAGAGAGATCAATAGATAATGGGTGAGAAGGATCAATATTCCCTGGACAGAGGGAGATAATGGGAGGGAGGTGGTGGTGAGCCCGGGAGAAGGGTGCCCAGGAGGGGGTGCAGGCCTGCAGGGGAGGGGTCCAGAGGCTCACAGGCCACCCTGCCACGGCTGTGGCTTCTCCAGGGACTGTGTGGGTTAGGGACTCCTTCAGGGGCCCGGAGGACCTGCCTCATCCGTCCTTCGCATCACCAGTGAGGGTGTGGCCTTGACCTGCCTTGGCCCCCCCCGGCCCCAGGGAGCCCCATCTGTGCTGCGATGCCCTATATTTCCAGCACCCACATGCCCTCCCCCTCTCCCCCTCCTTTTCTCTCTGCTTTCTCCCCCTCTTTCTTTCCTACTATTATGAGAGACATTTGTCTGCAAACAGCTCTGGAGATTTCTGCTCACCTCCCCCCTGGGTGTGCCTGTCGCTCCTGCTCCAGGGGTGACATCACAGTGTCCCACCTGGGACGTCATCCCCGGCTTAGCCGCTTGACGAGGTCCCAGGCCAGGGCGGGGGGAGGAGTACTGGCCCCCGCATGGGGACGAGGAGGGGGGACGGGACCCTTGTGGGCCCGGGCGGTCCCAGCTGGCTCCCAGGCTGGCTCGGGTCGGGGGCTCACCCCGCCCGCCCTGTACACGTGTCCCTGCAGCCTGGCCGCGGTACCGGGTCGTGGGCTCTGCGGACGCCGGGCAGTACAACCTGGAGATCACGGACGCCGAGCTGTCTGACGACGCCTCCTACGAGTGCCAGGCCACGGAGGCTGCCCTGCGCTCGCGACGGGCCAAGCTCACCGTGCTCAGTAATGCCCCAGCCCCCCCAGCTCCTCCCCCCCCCCCCCGTGTCCCTGGGACTCCTCATCCTTCTCCAAACGCCTCCCAAGGTGGGAGGCCGAGGGAGAGTGGCAGAGGAGAGTGAAGCGGGTGTGTGGGCCTCCCCTGGCGGGACTGTGGGGGTGTGAGGCCTGGCATCCTGTGTGTCGGGCGGGACCGGGCTCCTCCTGCTGGACGTGAGCCCCCCCCAACCCCCGCCCGGGCAGAGTCGAGGTGGTGGAGACGCAGCCCCTCCTGGCCCAGGCTTGTTGGTGAGGGAGCCTCTCCGTCCTCCCCTGCCACCTCCGCCCCAGCACCTGCCCCTTGGGCTCTCCTCCTCCTCACTCCCCTACCCCTCCACCCCCCTACCCTCCACCACACCTCTCCTTTCCTCCCTGGGTGCTGAGACCAGAAGGAATGAGCCCCGAGGGCTGAGCTGAGCTGAGCGCTGGGGTTGGCTGAGCGATGGGGTTGAGGTCGGTCGCAGGGCCGTGCCCCTCCCTCTTCCTCTTGGCCTCCACTGTCCCTTCCCTGTTTCCTACTGAAATCGGGAGAAGTGAGACACGCCCCTGGGGAGGGAGGAGCGGAGACGCTTGGACTCGAGGAGGGTCTTACTTGGGGCTGGAGAGGCCATGGGAAGGTGACAAGAAGTCTTCCCTCTGTCAGGGAACGGCTGGACTAGGAGTCAGGACAGCCGGGCCATTTTGGCACCGTGATCCGAAGAGGTCACGACCCCGGGGGACCAGTCTGCCCGTGGCTAATGTGTCGTGATGACAGCAGCCTTTCCTTAGCAGCCTCCACTTTGCCGCTCCTGCCCAGGGAGCTGTGAACTGGGAGGGTCTGAGCAGCGAGGTGACGGGGTGTCAGGGCCCTGCAGGGCCGGGGCTCAGGGCTCTTGCTCTCTGAGCGAGGCATGGCACCCACGTTAGGGGGGTTAGGTGGGCCCCAGGGATGGGTGTGGGCTGCCATGATGGCACCTCCCATCCCTCGCTGGGGTGCGAGTGAGCCCCGTCCAGCCCGGGCCACCTGAGGAAACATGAAATTCCCGGGAGTCTTTGTCTCTCCTTTCCCCCCCTCCCTAACGGCCTGTGTTTGGGGTCCTGGAGATTCTGGAGAACTCCCATCCCATCGTAACGAGGAGGCCCTGATACCCTCTTCTCTCTCCCCCCGGACCCCCAGACACAGACAAATAGATGACAAAAGGCCAGCCAAGCCCCTGGGCATCACAGGAAGGGGGCTTATAATGGCATGCAGTGGCTTGGTTCACTCAAGGAAGGCTTCCTGGAAGAGGAGATGATCAACAGGGACCCTGATGGAGGACCTTGTTAAAAAAGCTTGCAGGCCACGGAGGGAGAGCGCACAGTGGGGCTGTTGGGTGGCTCGTTTGGAGGGCACAGTCCGTGTGCAGCGTGGGGGCCTTCCCAGCATATCTGGGTGACTCGGGGGGCACGGGGGGCAAGGCAGGGCCCCAGAGGAAAAGAGGTGAGAGGTTAGTGCAGTCTCCTTTCCCTTGCTCGTCTCCACCTCAGCCTCCTGCAGAGATGCAGAGATATCTCATGCATACTCCCTGCTCACCTGCTTCCACCCACCTTGGCTCGTGGCGCCGGGGCCTGGAGTCCAGGCAGGACAGCGCCCAGTGTGGGTCATTCCAGTGCCACGTGGCCGCCCCGCCCCCGCCGCAGGCCAGGCACAGTCACAGGGTGGACTTGCAGGCCTGATGAGCCCCCATCATTTGCAGCCACAGCTACTCCAGCACCTTGGGGATGGGTGCGGCTCCAGGGTCAGCGGGCCAGTCCTGCCCCGGCCCCGCCGCTTAGCTCCCTCTCCTGCCTCTGAGCACATTTCTTAACCTCTCTGAGCCTCAGTACCTAATCTGCGAATTGGGGCTATTGGTATTTACCGTGAGAGGGTTAACGCAGGATGCCCCATGGTGAGGGTTAACTGCAATCCTGCGCACGCGCCTGTCACCACGTCAGCTGGCCCTCCCGAGTGGCGGAAATATCGCCGATCACATCACAGTTTACAGTTGACTTCACATCCATGATCTCGTTTCAACTTCACGTGGGCGTCAGTGTTATTTTTTAGTTTGACACACACACACGTGCATGTTGATAGAAAGATTTGTCACAAATCATCAAAGTGTGTTCATAAACACGGCTGCACGCAGACACGTGCTGTCTAAACTGATGGCCCAGGAGACACTTCAACAGCTTTACTAGCCTTTGCCCCAGAAACGGAGAGAAAGGTGGCTTAGTGACAGAGGTGACAGAGGGACGGTCTTTCCCTGAATGAGGGGGACATTGCCAGCGTGCTGGGGAAGGGAGAGCCCATGGGAGGAGAAGCCTTCCCTCAGCGGGGCGGGGGAGGCTCCTGAGTCGGGACATGGTGCCCGTGTCCCCATCCAGGACCTTCTTCCTGGGCGAGACAGCAGACGTGACCTTGCAGGGATCCCCACAGACCAGCAGACCCCGAGTGGCAGCTCTTTATCCATTTCTCTCCACCTTGAACTCCTTGCCGTCCCACTTGCAAACGTGCCTCCATCTGGCCCCAGACCCGGGCCCTCCAGCTAGCAAGGGGGAGGCGCCAGGGCTCCAGCGGGTCACCTGCTGTCGTCCGAGCAGCCGAGCGAACACAGGTCACCTGGGGCCTGCACATTGCACCCCAGGTGACCTTCATGAGGGCACCTGTTGAAGAGATGGAGACTCTGGCCCTCGGGGGCCTCAGCCGAGATCACACAGCAAGGAACAGACATGCCAGAGCTGCTTGGAGGCCACTGCTGTGCGTCCACAGCGGGCCCAACGCAGTCGGGCTTCAGGTGTCTCCCTTCTAGAGGAAGCCCGGCTCAGGACCTGCATCTCCGACAGTCCAGGACAGCCTGCCCTGCGCCGGGCTCCACGGGCCACCAGGGCCCACTCCCAAGGGCTGTCTCCCAAGAGCCCCCTGGGTCTTCGTGGTCCTTCCCAGCACAAGGCGAGCACAGCCCTTTCGCACCGCTGGCCTGATGAACACAGTGCAGCAAGACAATCCTAATCGAAGTCCTGCCTCCATCTCTTCAGTCCCTTCCTCATCCATTCAGCTAATATCCCGAGGGCCTGCTGTCCACCGAGCTGTGCTGGACCTCGGGCTTTCAGACAGAGGGGCAGTCCTGCCTTCAAGGAACACGTGATCTGATCGCCTGAGCATTTAGGGGCCTGTGGGGACAGGGCACGAAGAGACTCCCCGTTTCTTGGCATCAGAAATCTGATCCATTCAGTCCCTTAAGTTGTTAGCAAGAGCCTACCCTGGCTGCTTCTAGGCACTGGAGACAGAGGAAATGCCAGTGAGACGGGGAGGAAGGGGCGGCCCCTGCTTCTCTGGGGCCTGGACAGCCCTCCCCGGGTAGGTCAGGAGCTCAGAGCACCTGCCTGGGGACCACCCACAGTCAGGCTGGCAGGTGCGATGGGGGCCTGGACAGTAGGGGCGAGGAGGAGGAGGCAGGAGAGCGCAGGGCTGGCTGGAGGGACCCTGACCAGCAGGTCGGGATGCGCCTGCGGCGGTTAGCAGCTGCCCGAGGTGTCTGCTCAGGGAGGTGCCACAGTCTTAGCAGCGCTGGAGAAAATCACCTGCCAACAGTGCCCTGGTTGAAGCCACCCCCCTCATCCACCACACGGGCTGGGAAAGAACAGGGGGCGGGGGCGGCCCTGTGCAGTGGCCTGGGGGGCAGCCCCCCCCCCAGGGAATAGCAGGTACAGGGTGGTGGCGGCAGCACCCTGCCACGGGTGGATGTGCAGGGGGAGGGACGCCCCTGGGGGTGGGGGCTTTGGCCACCAGTGCTGGCCGCCCCCTGAGGGACTGCCATGCTCGCCCCGCAGTCCCCCCAGAGGACACCCGGATCGATGGCGGCCCCGTGATCCTGCTGCAGGCGGGCACGCCACACAACCTCACGTGCCGAGCCTTCAACGCCAAGCCGGCTGCCACCATCATCTGGTTCCGGGACGGGACGCAGCAGGAGGGCGCAGTGGCCAGCACGGTGAGACGCTGCCTGCCCCCTCCCGGGCCCCTCGGCCCCACCTCAGGTCCCCTTTCATTCCCACACGGGCCCGACCCAGACTCGAGGGCCACGGATGTGAGGGGAGATCTTGGATGCCATTCTGGTCCAACCCTCTCATCATGTAGTTGGGAAGGCTGAGATCCAGAGAGGAGGAGGAAGCTTCCAGGCTCACGGTGCACTCGGTGGTTAGCAGAGACTGAATACTAGTAATGGTAGCTGCATTGATTGAGCACCTGCTGCATGCTAGGCATGGTGCACGCTGAGCTTTGCTGGACCCTTCTTAGTCCCCACAGGTTCAAACAGCGGGTGCTCTTTCCTACTCAGAGATGGCCAGAGAGGTCGCTGCCTTGCCTGAGGTCACACAGCCGGCCTGCAGCAGAGCTGGGGTTTGTGGCCGGCTCGGGCTGTGCTCTCCCCTGAGCACCTTGACCTGCAGCCTCTAGTTGGAGCATTTGCCCGGTTGGCACAAGTAAGGCATTGATGTGGCTGCGCTCACCTGTCCATCGTGTAGTGAGGAAGCTGTGACAGAGAAGTCACCGAGTGACCTTCTGGGTGGAGCTGGAATCAGGATGCACACCTCCTGCTGTGGGGTCCCTTTTGCCACCCGCGTGCCTCACAGGGCGGCCCCGGGCAGAATTAGCGCTGCGCTTGTGGGCTCTGTGACCTTGGACAGGTCTCCGCTCTCTGGCCTTAGTTCCGCCATTTGACCAAGGAGAATTTGGCCTCACAGGTGCTTAACCTTCTACCACCAAGACATCTGTCATTTTTCTCCTTTGGGGCTACGTATTGTGAGATATTTTGGCAGCCAAATAAGCTGACTTGTTCATGGCCATTTGGGGTCCACCTCTTGTCTTGCATTTACTAAAGACGGCGGGTCCCCGGAAAGCCGCAGCAGGCCAGTGCTAGCACACCGCGCTGGCCCCGCTCCTGCCCGGGAAGGGCATGCGGGTGGCTGTCAGAGTGCAGGGCCTCCCTCTGGCAGGCAGTGTGGTTTCCCTTAGACAGCTGTGATGTGGGAAACAGCTCTAGGGGCTCCGTGACCATGTTCAGGGGCCCCAGGCTGGCCACCACTGGGCCAATGAGATGGCCTGGGAGCCCTCCCTGGCCTCCGGGGGCTTATGGTCTATCAGGAGAGGCCCAGCGCCCGTGCACTCATGCACAGCGCCTACGAGGCAAGGCTCCCTGTGCAGGACAAACTGACTGGGAGGGGCCTGTGGGCCAGGATGGCCCCAGAGACTTTGCAGAGAGGAGGCACTTGCCCTGCACTCCACAGATCCCAGGAACAAGGCTCAGAACCACGGGGTGGGGAGGACACACAGAGTGGGCTCCAGTGGAAACTGGACTTCAGTTAGTAGCGATGTGCCAACGTGCGTGTTCATCAGCTGTACTCCTGCTGCGTCCTCACGGATTGTGCTCATTGGAGGAGACTGTGGGGTCCGGAGGGAGGGGCTATGGGGACTCACTGTATTTTCTGTTCAGTTCTGTAAACTTAGAACGTCTATTAATTGAAAACCAAACCAAAGCAAACCTGGGGGAGAGCTTGGGGCTGGGGGTGGGGAGGCTGCACTTCTGGTACAAGTAGATGTGCCCCATCAGCGCGAGCCCCTCTCTGGGCCACCCTGACCGCAGTGGGGTGGGGGGAGGGGGGCTTTTAGCTTGATCTGGACTCCCACTTGTCCCACCCCAGGAGCTGCTCAAAGATGGGAAGAGGGAGACCACCATCAGCCAGCTGCTCATTAACCCCACAGACCTGGACATCGGGCGTGTGTTCACCTGCCGCAGTGTGAACGAGGCCATCCCGAGTGGCAAGGAGACGTCCATCGAGCTGGACGTGCACCGTGAGCAGGGGTCCCACAGCGGAGCTGGGGGGAGGGGTGGGGGGAAGGTGGACTGGGTGCCTTTGGAGAAGCGCCGATTGGGAGATTGGGAATCCTCCGGGGGTCCCAGGACAGATGCTCGCTGCCGCCATCCCCTGGGTCCCCTGGTGGGAGCACCCAGCAGCCATGGCCACCGAGGGTCGGGAGAGGCATCGGCTGTGAGTCAGGCAGCTCCTGGGTCTCATCCTGCATGTGACTTCGGCTGTGCTTTAATCTGTCTGAGCCTCAGTTTCCAATTCTGTATACTTGGAAGAGAAGCGGGTTCAGACCTACAATCGCTTCTCTGAAATTCTAAATTAGAAGTGATTTGCTGGCAAAACGTGAACTGAGGTTCTTCATAGTTTATTAAACCCATATGTTACCGTGGGGTGTAGCCCAGACCCTGCCGGGGGTCTGACATAGCCAGTGGTCTGTGCATGCCAGTACCTGCTAAAATGTGAGAAATGCCGGATTCTGAAACACATCTACACCCATGGGCTTCAGAGAAGGGACTTCAGACCTACTCCTGCCTCTTGGGGCCATGAGGGCCCTTAAATGATCCTGTAAGAGTATCCCCAAACGCAGCCTGCTACTCTGGGGATGTTCAGAGGGAGGGAGCTGGGCAGGGAGTGGAGAGGCCCCTCCCCCACCCCTCAGCAAGCCCTGTGGGGCCACCCTGACGCCTCGTGGCCACAAGGCACCATTACATCTGCTAGTTGTCCCTTCAGGGCAGCCTGGGTCCTGCACCCTGGGGGGCCCTCTGGGGCAAAGGTGAGGAAGATGCCTTACTGCTGATGCAACGTGACCTCCAATCCCCAGGTCTCCGCACAGTGGGGAGGGCTGGCTGTGTGTGTTAGAAAAAGAAACTTGAGGGACAGAAAACCCCCCTCCTGTCCCCTGGTTTGCAGACCCTCCCACGGTGACCCTGTCCATTGAGCCACAGACGGTACAGGAGGGTGAGCGCGTCGTCTTCACGTGCCAGGCCACAGCCAACCCCGAGATCCTGGGCTACAGGTGCAAGGCGTGGGGGCTGGGGGCACCCTGGGCCTGGAGTGGGCGGTGCCGGGGGGCAGGGTAGTGCTGCTGCACGTGGCCGCCCCGGCTCCGAGCCTTGATCCCCGCCCTGTGTGGCCGTCTCCCCAGGTGGGCCAAGGGGGGCTTCGTGATTGAAGATGCCCACGAGAGTCGCTATCAGACAAATGTCGACTACTCTTTCTTCACGGAGCCCGTGTCCTGTGAGGTTCACAACAAAGTGGGGAGCACCAATGTCAGCACCTTAGTAAATGTCCACTGTGAGTAGCTGCAAGGGCGGGGCTGGGGGGTGGGGCTGTGGAGGGGGGCGGGGCTGTGGAGGGAGCCGGTCTGGAGAGGGGGCGGGTCTGGAGAGGAGGGCGGGGCTGTGGAGGGAGCAGGGCTGGAGAGGGGGCGGGGCTGGGGAGGGGGCGGGGCTGGGGAGGGGGCGGGGCTGTGGAGGGAGCGGGGCTGGAGAGGGGGCGGGGCTGGGGAGGGGGGCGGGGCTGGGAGGGGCTGGGCTGGGAGGGGCGGGGCTTGTAAAGGGTCCAGGGTGGAGTTGGGGAACCGGGTCAGGCATGGGGAGGTGGGAGGGCAGCAGAAGGGAGACATGATCGGTTAGAGCTGACCCCCCGATGAGACTGGGACCCTAAACTAGTGTGCCCTTCCCTGCAGTTGCCCCCCGGATCGTAGTTGACCCTAAGCCCACGACCACAGATATTGGCTCTGATGTGACCCTCACGTGTGTCTGGGTAGGGAATCCTCCCCTCACCCTCACCTGGACCAAAAAGGATTCAAACATGGTAAGAGGCCTGCTGCCTGCCTTGAGTGCTGGGGTGGGGTGGGGAAGGGCTCTGCCGAGGGTGGGGAGCGGGGCTGGGGCAAGGGAGGGGCAGCCCTACTTTCTGAGCGGAAGCCAGAGTGCTTCTAGGGTCCTGGGATTTGGGGGAGGAGGTCCGTGCTCGAGATCAAGACCCACTTCTCCCTGCAGAAGAGCTGGCCGGTTCAGTGGCCGTGGGAGGGACACGCCCTGTGTGTGGAGGAGCAGATCTGGTGGCTGGATCTACACGGGGAGGGGGGAGGTTGAGTTCTGTAACTCCACAGACACCTGCGTTAGAGTTCGGGCCAGGATTGCAGAACAGGGGTCCGGGGTGAGACCTCCTACCTTGTGTGGCAGGAAAAGCTCTAGACCACACCCTGAGAGAGGCTGTGTCCTCTGTTAACCCACCACAGCTCGTGAGGTCCTGTTTAGAGTCAGGGGACGCACCCTTTTCCCTTCTGGGCATTCACTTGTGGCCCTTCCTGCTTTCTTTCCAATGCGTCCAATGTGGGGCCCCCTGGGACCAGGGGCCCAGGCCTCCTGGCACCCCACCCGAGGCTGCTCTCTCTGCCCAGGTTCTGAGTAACAGCAACCAGCTGCTGCTGAAGTCAGTGACCCAGGCCGACGCCGGCACCTATACCTGCCGGGCCATCGTGCCTCGGGTGGGAGTGGCCGAGAGGGAGGTGCCCCTCTACGTGAACGGTAAGCGGCCCCCGGGGCTGGGCCGGGGCAGTCAGGGGCTGCCGCGTGCCGCGGCCCTGAGAGCGTCTCCTTGCCCGCAGGGCCCCCCATTATCTCCAGCGAGGCGGTGCAGTACGCCGTCAGGGGTGACGGTGGCAAGGTGGAGTGTTTCATCGGGAGCACGCCGCCCCCCGACCGCATTGTGAGTGCGGGGACTCACCTGCTTCTCCGCTAGCTCCCCACAAGGCTCGGCCCCTCTGCCCCCCCCCTCAGATGCCGCCTCCTCTCTCACTTGTTGCATGAGGCAGAGCCAAGTACTTAGTGTTTCGAACCTTGGTTTCCTCATCCACAAAACGGGGGCAGTGTCCCTGCCTGACAGGGTGGCAACAAGTGTGAAAGGTCGGGGCACCCCGGCTGCTCTCTGCCCCACATCCCCTTCCCTTTCCTGGCCCTCCCTGCCCCCCCTGCCACCTGCCCCCCCATTCCCCCCCACCGCTTCTGCCTTCCTCCTCCTCCCACCTCCCCTCCACCCTCCTTTCTGTTCCCCACACCATGAGCCATTAATTCCTTCCACGACCATTAACTGTCAAACCCCTCATCACATTTAATGACCATTTGGCTAACTCCAGGGCTGCCCAGGGACACTTCATTACCACGGCCGCCTGGGCAGCAGGCGGCTCTGCTCCCGGGGGCTTTCCTCACAGAGCTGGGAGGATTGATCCCTGGAAAGGAGCCAGTCAGTGCTCAGTCGCTCCCCCTCCTTCGGGCTCCGCTCAGGGAGGGGACACGGTGGAGGGATGCCCCGACCTGGGAGGTCAGGGATGGAGGAGCCTGGGGATACCCCCTCTTCAGCAAGAGATCCTCTCTGTTATAAGAGTCTGGGGATGGGGTGTCTGGAGCCCCCTCCCCATGCCAGGCAGGTTCGTGCAGGGCCGGTGATGGGTTGGCTAACAGTAAGGACCGAAGACGGAGTTATGTTCAGCTGGATCCTCAGACTAGCAGAGCAAACCTTGGGCGTCTAACTCCAGCCTGGTCCTCTATTTTACAGATGAGGAGACTGAGGCCCAGAGAGTGGAAGGGAGGCCACACGGGCTCCAGGGGAGAGCCGGGCCCAGAGCTCAGGGTCCTGGACTCCTCAAACAGGACGATTTCTACAACATCAGGGACTACCAGATATTGGTTCATGGGTTCAGCCGCGCCTGCATCTGTGGGATGGTTATAAAAATAGAGGTTCCTGGATCTCTCCCTTGGAGATTCATATTTAGGAGTTAAGCCCCGAGAATCTGCACTTTAAAGAATGTCCCTGGGCCTATCCGAATGTCCCCGCATACATCTCCACCATGTTGGGAGCCACTTTCCTCCCACACTCGAGGCTCCGGGCCAAGGTTCCAGGCAACAGGGGTGGCTTGTGCCTGTGGCAGGGCGAGAGCTGGGGTAGGCGTGGGGACACACAGGGCGCATGGGCAGGGACACCTGGAGACTGGTCACGTGTTTCTGCCACCTGCCCCTTCCTTCTCACCGCCTGCCCTCCCCGCCCCAGGCCTGGGCGTGGAAGGAGAACTTCCTGGAGGTGGGGACCCTGGAGCGCTACACGGTGGAGAGAACCAACTCGGGCAGCGGGGTGCTGTCCACACTCACCATCAACAACGTCATGGAGGCCGACTTCCAGACACACTACAACTGCACAGCCTGGAACAGCTTTGGGCCGGGCACGGCCATCATCCAGCTGGAAGAGCGAGGTGACCGGGGTGCGGGGCGGCCTGGGGGGCTCCCTCCCTTCTCCCCCAGCCAGCGGGCCTCACAGGGAGACAGCTCTCCCTGCCTGCCCTCCGCTCAGCGGGGGACATCCACTCCTTCCCATAAACATTCACCGAGCGCCCACTCTGCCCTGGTGCTGGGCACCCCTGTGGGCGCTGGGCACCACAGGGATGCCTGTGACAGGGTGAGGGTCCCTGCCCTCCTGGGGCTTTCGGCTCTGTCGAGCAGTGCTCTCAGTGGACTGATTTTTCGGGAGGAAAATCAGATGCTTCATGGAAGGGCGTAATACCACCAACCGACCTCGTTGGGTTGTCCTGAGGATTAAATGACAGCGTGTTTATAAAACACCGGACACGTAGGAGGTGCCCCGCAGGGTGTGGCTCCCCACCTCTTCGAGAATCCTTCATCCGAGAGGAGGCATTGCTTTGGACTTTTCTGGAAGTGCTGAAGTCTGATGAGGAAACGAAAAGCTGGGGCTCCCATCAGGCGGGTCTTAGCTAAGGATGCCAGCAAGGGGGGGGGGGGGGGGGGGAAGGCAGAGCAGGGGGAGGAAGGCAGGACCCACCCAGCGAGGAGGGGAAGAGCCTCCCGCCATCTGATCCACCCAGGACCCCCAGGCAGGGAGAGAAAGCCCAAGGGGGGTTCCCTGGGCCCTCAGCCCTGAGGAGCAGGGGAGCCACGGAGAACCGAGGGAGCCCTGGGAGGGCGGGTGCCTGCGCCACCCTGGCCATGGTGTGGGTGGGGAAGGTGGTGAGAGGCCGGGACCCAGACGGCAGGTCCGAGTTTGGAGACAGCTGACCTCAAAAGAGCAGCCCAGCCCAGGAAGCAGAGGCCAAAGCTCACAGGCACCTGGGCTGCAGGGGAGGGATGGATGGACTGCCAGCGCCAGGCTCACCTTGCGCCACGCTGCAGAGATGACACGTGGCTGTGCTCAGGTCTGAGCCCGGACACAACGCAGACCTTCCTCTCAAACTCCCCGGCTTGAGGCAAACGCCAACCATGTCCCTGGGTGTAGGCGGAGCTCCAGGTGCCTGGCCTTCCGGTCCCACGAGCCGCCACCCTCACCCTTGCCTTTCTTTCCCTCTGAAGAGGTGCTGCCCGTGGGCATCATCGCCGGGGCCACCATCGGGGCGGGCATCCTGCTCACCTTCTTCTTCATCGCCTTGGTGTTCTTCCTCTATCGCCGCCGCAAAGGCAGTGAGTAGGGGCCTCAGGCCGCACAGAGCCCCCGCCTCCCCTGCCCCCAGCACGCAGACCCCCGGCGCCGCCACCGGGCTGGCCTGCAGAGGCTGGCAGAGGTGTCCAGGCTGCCCCTTCCTGTCCCCAGGTCGCAAGGACGTGACCCTGAGGAAGCTGGACATCAAGGTGGAGACGGTGAACCGCGAGCCACTCACGATGCACTCTGACCGGGAGGATGACACTGCCAGTGTGTCCACTGCCACTCGGGTCATGAAGGCCATCTATTCGGTGAGGCTCCTGCTCGCCCCGCCCCCTCCCCTGTTCACGTTCTTGGGCCCCCGCCCCGCCCCAGCTCTGCTAACACCTCCTCCCTGTACCCCCTTGCCACCCTGCCTTGATCCCGCCACACCCACGCGCACACATGCTCACGACCGCACACGCGGGCGCACAAATGCTCATGCGTGTACCCATGAACCTGCGCGCGCACATCGTCCCCGAGCGGGCCTCCCTCCAGCGGAGGACAGGCGCGTGGGGCCCTCCGTGGGCGCGCGCTTCCCACAGATTGGAAACCCCTAGAAGCTTTCTGGTCCAGCTTGCCCCACTGCTCAGATGAGGAGATAGTCCCAGAGAGGGGCAGCCACACCCCCAAGGTCACTGTGCGTCAGCGACGAAACCGGGGCCAGGTCCGTCCCCAACCCTCCCGCGCGCCCCGGGCTTCTCCTGGGCGCACACTCAGACCCCAGAGCCGGCCAGGCCCCCGGGGGCCCCCGGGCGCGGGATGGGTCCCAGGCCGGCCCGGCGCTGACGCCCGCCCCCCCCACCCCCGCGGCTCCGCAGTCCTTCAAGGATGACGTGGACCTGAAGCAGGACCTGCGCTGCGACACCATGGACACGCGGGAGGAGTACGAGATGAAGGTGCGCGCGCGGGGCAGGCACGGGCAGGCGTGGGGGGAGGGGCGCGGGCTCCCCGCGGGACCCAGCAGGTGCGCCAGGGCCGCGCCTCCACCCCGCCCCTCGCCCCCAGGACCCCACCAACGGCTACTACAACGTGCGCGCCCACGAGGACCGGCCGGCGTCGCGGGCCGTGCTCTACGCCGACTACCGCGCCCCCGGGCCCGCGCGCTTCGACGGGCGCCCGGCCTCGCGCCTCTCGCACTCGAGCGGCTACGCGCAGCTCAGCTCCTACGGCCGCGCCCCCGCGTCCGACTTCGGCCCCGAGCCCGCCGGCCCCGGGCCCGCCGCCCCCGCCGGCGCCGACGCGGCCGGCCCGCTGTCCTACGAGAACTACGACAAGTTCAACCCCCACCCCTTCCCCGCGGCCGCCGGCTACCCCACCTACCGACTGGGCTACCCGCAGGCGCCGCCGTCGGGCCTGGAGCGGACCGCGTACGAGCCCTACGACCCCATCGGCAAGTACGCCACGGCCACGCGCTTCTCCTACTCGTCCCAGCACGCGGACTACGGCCAGCGGTTCCAGCAGCGCATGCAGACTCACGTGTAGGCCCGGAGCGCCGCGCGGGCCGCCTCTGCGGGGCGGAGGCCCAGGCTCGCCCGGCCGGTCCCTGATATTCAGGGGCGAGGCGCGCCGCCCTGGCAGCTGGGGAGCAGGTCTCCCGGAAACACCCCCTTCCGAGGATGGTGCTCTGTGCATGCCCCAGCCTCCTGGGCCTGCTCTTCCCTCTTCTTCGGGAGGACGTGTGTCTTCTGACCTGCGCTCTCCCCTGGCCCCGCACGGGGGTGGGGGCCGGGAAGCGAAGGTGGTGGAGGGCCGGCCGAGGGGGCACTTTTGAGCATTCCCATTCTGCCCCACCCCTCCCGGCTCCCCCAAGTGGACAGGGCCGTGTGAGCAGGAGCAGGCGAAGGCCGAGGGCACATGCGGGTGGGGGTGGGAGCGGGACCGCCTGGCCAGCCCCTCTGTTCTCGGCGCTCGGACCCCGGCAGGGTCCCTTCTCCCGGGGGACCGCAGAAGGGACGGTGGGTTTCTTGTAGCTGTCCGCACGACAGCCCTGGCACTGAGTTCGGATCCAGCCGTCGGTCCGGCTGAGATGAACGTCAGTGCCGGCCAGCAGGGCTGCGCACCGTGGACGCCTGTCTGTCAGCCTTCGCAGGATCCCCGCGTCTCCAGTACCAACCCCCTCCCTGCTCCTCCGTGCAGGGCCAGCCGGACAGGTCAGGGTCAAGGTGGAGAAAGGACCGGTGGGGAACCGTGTCCACCAGCAGGAAGGCTGTGTGCTACAGAGCAGTTTCCAGAGCCCCCTCTAGAGGAGCCCCTTCCCTCCCCAGTGGGCCCTGCGTCCTGGCTTTAACTCTGGGGAGCCCTGGGGAGACGGGGCGTGGGGGGGGGAGTGATAGGTTATTCTTCAAAGACAACAATGACAACAACAACAATAAAAACCTCATTTGGGGAGAAAAAGAAAAGCTGTAGGGAATCCACCACCCCGAGTCCCAATGGGAAGGAAGGGAACACCTGTTCTCCACCAGATTCCCAACGCCGTCCATTACTCTCAATTTCCAAGCACTTTGAATCCATTTTTAAACATTCAGGTGGCAAGACCTGTCGCCAATGGGCCCTGACGGGCTTAGGGAGGAGGCCTGGCTCTCAGATGCCCTGTCCGGCCCACCAGCGAGCTGGTCAGAGAGGCCACCTTCTGGGGGCACGGCACTGTGACAGGTTTTGGCTTTGTTAAGTGTCTTTTTTTTTTCTTGGACCAATCAGATTCCTTCTTCCACTTTCAGTGCCTTGAGTGTCCCGCTTTAGTCGACCAGCCCTGTGTGGGTGGCCACAGGGGACGGGTATTGCAAGCCCCAGACCCCACGGCCGTCAGGTGTCACAGAACGTGGGGGGCGGTGGGTGAGGGGCCTGGAGAGGAAGGAAGGGCTGACCCAGTAAAGTAGCACAGGGAGGGCACTGCAGGCCGTCATGCCCATGCTTTTCCCACACACATTCCACATGGCCATTCACAGCCACCACCTTCTGACCAAAGAGAACCGTGCCCCCACCCGCCTCCCCTCCTCCCGACGGGGCGGGGCCTCTGGGGCGATCCCCAGAACACACTTTGCCCTTTCTCTGGGTCACCGCTCATTAGTCATGTTTGTTTTAATGAGTTACATGCTCATCAGCCACGGGCCATCGCCACCTTTGCGGATGGGTCTGTGGGGTGACATTCCTCACCATCCCTACTGGTGAGGATCAGCTAATGCCCAGGAAGAAAGCCCAGCTCCCGCCTAGCAGGCTGCCTCTGTGTCCCCCTCTGCTGCAGCAGGGGCAAATCCTGGGTGGCTCTGCCAGCTTGGGGCATCGGCCAGGCTCCGGCTGAATTCTACCCCTGCCCCGTGGGATCTGACACCTCCCCACAGAGTCCTTCTACGTGAGCCCCGCGAGAAGGTCTGTTAAGGATGCAGGTTTCTGTGCAGATGAATTCACGCACATTTTGATTATCTTTGCAGAAACACAAGCCATTCATAATCCCAACAAAGTCTAACGATGGTGATGGCTTTTTAAACTTTAGGGATATTCCCAAAAATGATCATTTGTGTTTGGGGTTTGGCCACACTCTGTTTCCCCCTTTTTGGTTTTCGTCCTGGGCCCATTCTGTTGAAACAATGGAGAGGAGGGGTCCAAGGTCACTGGCTAACCCAGCTGATGCTACAGGGACCATTAGTTTCCAGAGGCTTGTTAACAGAGCCACTGCCCTGTTCTCTGGTCTTTAACACAGTAACCGGGCCTCCTGGGTGTCCAGTTTGCACGGTGCAAGGCACAGAGAGACACCAGCAGCCCAGGCCCTCTCCGCTCTCTGCAACTTGCACGCTGGTTTGATAACAATCTGAATTCGGATCTGCCTGTCGGGCTTCATGGAATTGCTTTTCTGGGGAGCCAAAGGTGCCCTTGAACATAGAGCTTTGCTGTCTGAGGCTGGGGCCCTCCAGCAGGGTGCCTGAGCACTTGACATGGTCACCTAGGCCATCCTGATCACCTTTGATCTTCTCATTTTAGTGAGAAGAGCAAGGCACTAAGGGTCAGGTGACCTGGGACCCCATTCTGAAGCCACGATTGACTGAGTGACCTTGGCCCATAACCTCTTTACATTTATCGCCCCCGATTTTCTGGCCTTAAAAGTAGGGGAGGGGAGAGTGCACAATCCTAGAGTTATTCTGTTCTTGCTGTACTCATTTGGTGAGGTGGAGGGCCCAGCCACCCCTTGTAAGGAGCTGGGGAAGTAAGTGAGCAGAGGAAGGATGGGGACTGGAAGGTTCTCCTGTCTTGAAAAAAGCTTTCACTGTGGGTCTCTTGTTGGAAGTATTGTGAATGTTTTTCCACCAGAGTCCCCTGGACCCCAAACGGCAACGGAGCATACCCTGAGCCTCGGTGAGGTTGGTGCAGGGTCATCCTCTGACCATTGGGAATGGCCGCTCACAGTTGGGGACCCACTCAGAATGCTGCCGGTTTGGCAAAGGCACCTTCCAGTTTAGGGCAGGGCGTGGGGACTTTCTTTCCTTGGTGCCCTGGCTCCAGGCAGCTTTGACTCGTGGAGAGTGAGAGCAGCCACCTCCCACCCCATCCTCAGTGCATCGTTCTCGCTGAACTGAGCGGGGTGAAGCCTCCGGGCCGAGGCGTCCTGAGCTGGAGGGTGAGGCGTGAGCTTGGCCAGCCTGTCTGAATCAGCCGGTAAGAGGTCAGCCAGTAGAGAGGCAGGTAGGGCAGCTTGAACATAAACTGTGGATCTCAAAGAGGTTCTTGTGATTGTGGCTGAGCCGCAGTCTCTTTCCTCATGGGGGGCCCAGCCTACACCCTAAATCCCGAATCCCTCTAAGTCCAGCCCCAGAGTCCTGGGGGGGGGGGGGGTTCAGGAAGGGCAGCCACTGGGGACGAAGCACTGCTCTCCGGAATGCCAGCCCTGGGATGGAAAAGGCCAGCTTGACCCCTGTCCGCAGGTCCCCTGACCTGCTCTCATCTCATCATTTTGAGGGCAGCATTATAGGACAGAGCGCCCTGTCCTAGAGCCCCTCTGGCCCCCACGCTCGGTCAGGAGCCGCAGGTCCTGGGCTCCTTATCAAGGAATCAGGTGGTAAGAAAGCCTCATCAAAGCCAAGCCCCCAGCTGGACTGAACTGGCCGGTCACTGCCTCCCTCCTCGCTGTGCGGATGCTTCTGTCCACACGGCCGTACTCCTCGGCCACCCCAGCCCCCAAAACCCTGGCTTCTCTGCCACGTTAGCTCAGGTGTGTCCTGAGTGGGTCACTGTTTGGGGGGCCCCTGAGAGGTGTCAGTGAAGCTTCTGACTCATTACAACCAGCAGGGAGATGGTCACGGGACACTGACGCACACAGACCAAGGGATGCGACTGGAAAGGCATTTATTTTTGTGAAGAGGCTATAAAATTAGCATTTAAGTACTCCATTTCCTCGTCCCTGCCTTCCCCTACCTCCCCTGCCCCCAGCCCCCAGAGTATCTGTCCTCTCCTGGAGGCCGGGTTGGCCTGGCCTCCCGCCTCGGGGCTGGTGGTAAGGGCAGAGATGGCCGCAGCTGGCCCCTGGGAGAGTCCCCAGTGTGGGGGTTGGGGGAGGGCGGGTCCCCATGTTCTCGCATCACTGTGAGGGGCTCCAGGCCCCGTCCCTGGAGAAATCATTGCTGCGCAGAAGTCACAGGCTATATGGGCGGTTCCGGTACAAGCCTGCCCTTAAAAATAATAACGGTGAAAATAATAATAATAAATAATAATAGCAACTCCATTTGCATAGAACTATCACTTTCTTGCCAACCTCCTGCCCATACTCCTGGCTTTTCGCTGGCCACGACCCCCGGCCTTTTCGAGGGTCGGTGGGTCATGGGGCCACCCACGTGCTTCTGGAGATCAGATGCTGCCCCCCCCCACCCCTCCCCGGGGACAGAGCAGCAAGCTGCCATCACCGTATAGCAACCATGGCCCCGGAGGTCAGGTTCTCTGCCCCCACCGCCCTTGGGGTTCCAGCCCGCATTTCTGGCTCCAGTTGAGTTTTCTCCTCCCAAACCCCGATAATAAATGGATCCATGATGACAAGAGAAGAGGAAAAAATATTATTTTTGTTAGGACAGACCATCGTAGGTTTTTAGCAACGTGTCTGTGTGTCTCACGCCTTTTCCTATTCTGCCTGTTTTCATTTTCCTTTTTTTTAAATATTATGTACTATATTTTTAGTCTCAAACACACTATATATTATATATATTTAATTTTTTTATATATATAAATATAAATGTTTTAAAAAGTACCACGTTTTGTGTTATTCGATGCGCAAGCAGCTTTAGCTGCCGAAGAGCTTGCCTGATTTGGGGTGAGATGGTCAAATTTGGGGAAAAAGATGAGAGACTTTTGGGTTGAGACTGCAGAGCCAATGTATTTGTGTCCCTCCAGGCCGGTATTGACGTTTGTGGCTGTCGTAGAGCCCTGAGGCCTGGCAAGGCAGGCAGTTGGGGGGTGGGGGGTGGACAGCGTTAAGTCCGGGCTGTGTGAACGCAGCACCCAAAAGTCTGGTGCCAAAGCAGATAAGGGGGCGATTGAACCTGGGGTCCAGACCTCGAAGGAACTGGCAGGGGGTAGGAGCCGGGTTGGTCCCACTTTTACTGAGATGCAGAGCTTTTGGTAAAGAGGGAAATTACCAGGCCTGCGGCCTCCTGGTGGGGAGTGAGGAGATCCCGCTGGGAAATTCAAAATACTGGTGTGTAGTGACCTTCATGAGGGTTCCCACTCCACACATTTCACGGGAGCATTTGAAGATCACTGGGGGGGGGGGGAGAGAAAGGTTGCTTTCAGATAATTTTTTTTAAGTTTATTTATTTTGAGAGAGAGAGAGAAAGACGGGGGAAGGAGGGCACAGAGAGAAAAGGGGAGAGTGCACAGAGCCCTGTGCAGGTCTCGAACTCACCAGCCGTGAAATCACGGCCCCAGCCGAGACCCTGAATCTGATACTTGCTTAACTGACTGAGCCCCCTTGGTGTCCCCAGATAATGTTTTTTGAAAGCTATAAATCGTCAGAGAAATACAAGGGTTCATTGTTTTCATCATCCACATACCAGCCAAGCAAACTAAAGCTGGTCCACAGCAGCCACTCTGTGGTACAAGGGACACAGGACACAGTCAGGGAAGAGGGAGGCATGGGAAGGTCAGAGGTCACAGCCTGCCCCCCCACCCCCCCCACTGAGGGAGAGGCTGTGTCCGCACTTGGACCTGGCGCCTGCAGATGCCTGAGGCGAGTCCCAACTGGGCGGGACCCAGAGACCCAGGTGCAGGGGGACCAGAGGCTGCAGCCAGGAAAGTAACTGGTGCAGGTAAAACATGGCGTGAGAGTTGGGGTCCAGAAGCAAACAATGGACTAAGAAGAAAAACAGGAGAA